TCTGTATTAAGCACTTTATTCTAAGAGTGAAAGATCTTAAAATTCCAATCGGATTGAATATCCGACCCAACACTTGTAGAAGAAATCGTTTTGTTTCTATTGGTTTAGATGTGAAAGACAATAGGTTTCGAACATCAAAATACAGTAAATCCTTTGAATTATCCCATGCCATACCTAAGACCTTAAATGAGAAATTTTCTCTATTAAAATCTTCAGGATTTTCATCTGGAACGATACCCTGTTTTTACCCACAATTCATGTAATTGTCTCGAGTTACTATGCCATTTGAAGCTGCATGCTTGCTTCCTTAAATATTTGGACCGATTCTAGACTCGTAGTTAATGCTTCATTGATCGTTGGTTGGCTTCCAATCACATCATCTACATATACGTTCTCATTCAAAAAGTTAACCGTTGTAGGATAAAGTTTATTATATTTTTTCAGATGATGTTTTAATGGTAGCGGCTAATAGAAATGGACTACTATTTATTCCGAATAAAACTCTAGTGAACCTATATATGTCAGGAGAAATGGTTTCATCATTAGGGAAATTCGGAAAACAGAAACCTGGTTGCGTCTCGCGATCTTTTTCATGTATGAGAATCTGTAAAAAAGGCTTGTTTTATATCTGCGGTGAAGGCTATTAGATTATACCGAAATCTTAACAATATTTCGAATATTTCAGGGTATAAATTTGGCCCAACATGTAGACAGTCATTTAAAGAAATGGATCCTGCAGCATGCGATGATGCATCATAAACAATACGTAATTTACTTGTAGCTTGATTCTTGCGTATAACTTCCCTATGTCGTAAGTAAAATATGACATTCTCTTCATTTGAAATTTCTGTAACTGGTTCGATAATATTTTGTTTTAACTGATCTCTTAATACGTTCCTGTATTCGGAAAATAGATTAGGATTTTTTTAAATCGTTTTTTAAGTCGATAAAATCGTTGTTCTGCGATTTCCCTATTATTATTTAGATTTGATGTGTCATGTTTCCAAGGCAATCTAACTTTTATAGCGAGAATTTTCATATGTTATATTTGATTCGAAATATTCGACGACTTCATTTTCAGTTGAATCGAAGTTTTCCCTCTTATCAATAAGTCCTGAGTTTTCCAAGTCCAAAATTTTGTTATTTGTTTGGAAATCAAATCTTCCCCTACAACTACATTGAAAGCTAAAGAGACGTCATCATCACCTTTTCGTCCATGTAGGGCCCACTAGCGGTCAAGCGGTAAAGAAGCTGAACACTGGTAGTTCGGTCCGAGGTTCGAATCCCGTGAACGGGCTGGCTGCATGGGCATTTTCGTGGTTTTCCCCATGTGTAATGTGTATACGAGCCAGTTTTCCTTAGAAAGTCCTCCACGAAGGCATCTCTCCCTTTAAGCAGATAGGCCTCGTGTGCTTTGCCATAATTGAATAATCCCAATCTCTCTCATCCATGTAGGCACCAGCCAAAAATAGTTTCCACTGTAATAAGATTTTTGCTTAAGCATTTAACATGTCCCATTACTATGCTGTAATAATAATCTGCACCAATTAGAATGGCAATGGAATCGGGAAAATCTGTGAGCATCAAATTTTTTAATTGTCTATTTTGCTTAATTTCTTCTGATTTAAGAGGAGGAATATCTGTACCTGATATATGATCAGTTACTAATAATTCAACTTCTAGTTTAGAATTGGAAGGCCTTCTATGTTCTAAAGTTAATTTAACTACGTCATAATTTTTTTCGATGGGTGAAGTATTCCCAAAAGTGTAGACAGTCAATTTTTCTTTTCTTATGACTTCAAACCTGTCTGCTAACTCGCGAGCATAAAAACTTTTCATACTTCCACTATGCAAGAGAAGTCTGTCAAACACCTTTTCCTTAGCTGTTTTAACTTTTATCGTGCAAGTCTGTAAAAGAATTGTGTTATTTACACTATGTGAAAGGGCCAAAACAATTTCTTCTTTCTGTTCCTTAGTTTGTGTATCATTTTTCGAAATTATATACTATCCTTTTTATCATTTGGTGTATTTTTAACTATCGAACTGCATTTAAAACATATGGCTTCCGAATGTTTACCTTTGCAAATTTTACAGAAATTACTATCCTTTTTATCATTTGGTGTATTTTTAACTATTGAACTGAATTTAAAAACGTATGGCTTCGAATGTTTACCTTTGCAATTTTCCAAACTTTAGTTTGACGTTGCCGCATTGTGAATTTGTGTTTAGGGGCAAACAAAGAAAAACAACGCGCTTGTTTTTCAAAATATCTCCTTCTCATTAACTGTAAGGCATAAACAGGACTCTGAGTCATGGTTTTGAAAACAAAAAATGCAGTTTCGATTTGATGACGCGGCTGCCATAAATTCATGTGTGGTGACAGTTTGTTTATGTTTTGGCGTCGGTGGATATCTGTTAATACTTTTCATTTCCGGTTTTGACTTGCGTGGAAAGGATAAGGAATTAATTTTTTCTCGCGATTCTATTTCTAATCGGAGAAAGTCTAGAAATTTGTTTAAATCATAGGTTGAAGGATTTTCAGTATTTGTACGATGAAATTCTAAAGTTATATCGTTCGGGACAATTTTCATCAAAATTGGAATAAACATGTTGGAATATGTTTCTGGTTTCACACCGAATGCTAAAAGGCTTCTGACTTGAACGTTAATTGTATCATAAAGTTTTCGCAATTTTGCCACTTCACTTGAACTTTGAACGGGATTTAAATTTAAGAGATTAGAAATGTGTGTATTGATAATAAGGTCACTTTGACCGAATCTGTTTTTAAGAATGTCTGTAGCAGAGTCATAATTAGCCTCTGAGATTGAGAGACCCTCTATGGCTGATGCTGCATTTCCACACAAATAAGTTCTCAAATAATTAAATTTTTTGATTTTCGAAAGTGTTATAGTGACCTTGAATGAATTCCAAAAATTTATCCAATCGTTATAGTCTCCAGAAAATTTGTGAATTAACAGTTTGGGCAATTTCACATTGCCTTCAATCTGTCTTTTGGTTTCAACTTCCGTAGATGAATTATTTAAATTCGTATTGACATTTTGAGTATTGTATTTCCTTAAATAACGGTTGATTTTAGACTTCGTTATTATTATTTTAGCGTTATATTCCATAGAAGTGTTAATATCTGACTCTAATTTTGATTCATCTTCAATCAATTTTTTTTTCATTTAAATCATGTAGTTCCATACTATTTAACAATACCAAAAAATTTTCCAACTCTTCTTGTTTTTCTTTTAAATACTCATCTACATTTTTAATAATTTGAGTTACAGAAGCAGGTATATGTGCCCGATTCTTATTTAGTGTCTTCTGTTCCATTTTAATAAATAATCTAAGGACACTTACCGTGAGCAGTCTTCGCTTACAAAGCTATTCCAAAAGGCGAAAAATACAAAATTTCAAATTAATCAGATTCTTTCCCATAGCGGATGCACCATTTGAAACAAAGGGTTCTAGATCAAATTCGAATCAATCACAATCCAAAATGAGATGCATGGCCTGGAGGGTTTTACATAAATTTTAATTAAACTTAATATTTACATATATACAATGTAGGCTAAAATGCCTGAGTCGAATATTAAGGCTCAAAACTTCAACAAGAATAAATTTTAAGTCACCTGTTCAGAAGGGAAAGCGTCAAGTAAGCCAATAGATGGACTTCTAACGCCATCTCTTGGCGATATCAAAGAATATTCCTTAACACTACATTAAGATTTGGAGAAAATCAAGAACTGCAGTTAAAGTTAAGAGTGTGAATAAATTTTAGTATCTATAGAGAAATACTTATTCCTTTTCATTTTTAAATATCATATTTATTTTACTGCTTAATCTTGTAAACAGGAATAAAACAGAAGGAATATGCTTAATATGATCATGGTTAATATTATCATTCACATATTGTTATTGATTTGCCAAAGTCGATGCCTGTTTGTATATGAAAACACAGAAATTACATCACTTATTGTCATCAACAATTCAGTTAACATGATCAAATTATTATAGAACAAATTTTTTGAACTGAAGTAAAATCACCAAGTCAAAATAGATTATAAAAATAGTCAAGTGACCCAGAAATGCCACCATGTGAGGGCTTAAATGGCAAAACACTTTGGTTTCAATTTCAGTCAACCATTTAAAACTAGGTGAATAAAGCAGCCTTAGTTTGATGTTACTAAGGCTTAGTCTGACCCAAGTCTTTCTTCTTCAGGAGCAAAAAAAAAGTTGTGCAGATTTTTTTTCTTTTCTCTTGGGAAGCAGGGAAAAACCCTATTTAAAATTTTACTTTGGCACGATCTCTTTGAATGAAGGATGAAATGTTAAGATTAAGGGTACAGCATCAGCCAAGTAATTTCCGGAAATGTTATGAATAGTCATAAACAAACATTTGCATTTCCTAATTAAAATACCTATTTATATGTTTCTTGAAATTTTCACATTAAATAAATTAAATTCCATTGCTCTTTCATAGGATATTTTTTCTTAACATTCAATGTTATTAAAACTACTATAGACAAACATGATCGCAATAAACGGTACTGTTTATTTTACTTTTTCTATGAAAAATATAAATAAATTTAAGGGAATACGATACACAATACAAATTTCATGATTTCTTTATATATATATATAAAACTCAAGCATTCAAAAAATCTAATAGGGTATAAGATGTTAGAAAAAAATATGAATTCCTTAAAAAGCATCAAATTTCATACAGTATTCAGCTTTCAAAAATAAGGAACTTAACCTACCTAAATAATATTTCAGCAGACTAAAGCTTTGATGCTTAATTAAGGTTCCCATTTTTTTATAGTGTTTATAGTAACGTGAATAAATAAAATCTATTTACTAAAATAACGTACAATGAAAGGAAAATTTTACTCAGAAAGTACTAAATTACTTATCAAAGACTTCACCATTCAGGTATATTAAGAAGCATATAATAATTATTAAAAGGGATTATTTTAGTGCTTCATACTTACAAAACAAAAGTTTCATTCCAATACAAATTAGAAGCTGAATCTTTAGCTGTTGTTTTGAATTGTTTTCCAAGCTCAACCCACAGCTTGCAATGCACATTAAAAAATTTTGAAACTATTAAAAAAAATACTCATTAAAGTGCTTACAGTTTAAGAATTTGCATTTATAAACAAAAAAAAGGGGAGAAGGGAGAAATGAAACATTGTCAGATCATCAAAAATGATTGTATATTTTTCAAGATTACATTTGTCTTATTAAATGTTGCATTACCTAACAGTTACACAGTCTTTATCTTGTTTTACTCTTAAATATTCAAAGGCATGTTTACATACCTTTATTTATTCACGTTATCATTACAATTAGCTTCTAGCATGCAGAACAATCATTAAAATTAGATTAGAACTATCATTAAAATTAGCTTTTAGCATGCATACATGGATTTTTTCTATACAGTTTGATTCAATATTAATATTTCTGCAGCCAGTGGATAATACTGTTAAGCCAAATGACTGCTAAATATAAAGCATATAAATTCATGTGCACTCAGACATACATGCATAGGTTATTTATTGTTGCATGTATGTCCAAAAAATGGCAACACAGGCAATTCTAACTGCAAATTGAAACTAGGGGTATGAATAATCAGGAAATGCCTATGAATGCAAGATAGTCTCAGCCTTTTAATTTATCAGACGGTCAGTATGTGTCAAAGAGTCCTGTTTTATAGTTCTACCTCCTTTCTTCTTCAAGGTCCACAATATTAAACAGATAGCTTTTCATTGCTTTGCCACAGTAAATTACACTTTTAACTACTACCCATTATGTTATGATTAATACTTATCAATAACTTTTGTTTACTTAAAAATGCATTTGTTTATTTTCACTTGATATTTATGGGAAAATTTTGTAAAAAATGTTAAAATAACCATTGCTATTATAGTCATACAGGAAAAGTTTTGGCCAATGAGGTTAAATTTTTTTCCACCCTTTTCAATATGTAAAAAAATTGTTCTACAAAAGACATATACTAATTAATATATATACTTGCGATTTTTAGCCCAGTTAAATGCACATATTTGAACTTTAATGTGTTTCATGAACTGCATTAACCAGCTGAACAATTCTTTTTATTAAGTACTTTGCATTAGAGCTTCTCAAATATGCAATTTTTTACTGGTTGGATTTCCCCACAAATTTCCTAGAAGATTTTACAGATTCTCAGGATCCTAACAATTGCATAAATTTAGAAATACTGACTGCTTTTATTTACATCTTACTTTATTTATCAGCAATAAACTGAAGCATCAATACTTTTATCAATAAGATTAGTTTTTAAGTTTTGCAATGAACAGCATGCAGAAACTGCATAAAATTTTCTTTCTGCTTCAACAAAGAAAGGCAGATTAGATTGGATTATTTCGATTATGTCAAAGCAATGAGGGAGAAATGCTTTTATGGATCTTTTTATGTAACAATGGCTCATATTCTATCAGCTATGGGGAAAACAAAACACTCATGCAGCTACCCTGTTTACAAGGATATGAATGCTAATCAAACTACCAGTGTTCAGGAGTTTTAATACTTGCCCTCTGGTGGGTGACAAGAGGAGCAAATTTCGAGAAATCTTCCATGTATATAATATTGAAAGTTCTATGAACAGTTATCTAAAAAATTATTTAAAAAAAAGAAAACATGTCTATGCAATAGTTCTAATTTTGAAATAAAGATGCAGATGCCCTCTTTGGCTAAATTGCCAATTCTAACTCATTTCTAAATGTCTGTACTCACAAGTAGTACAACTTATCATCTTTATTTAGTGTGTGCAATGAAAAGATTCACTGAAAAGTATTATCAATATCTTCTTAGAAAATTCAAATAATACTTCTTTGTTTCTGTAATGATAAAAGCTTGGAAGTCAATTTAGAATTAGCACAGTTTTCCCATTTCTTTTAATACTGAAGTCACTAAACTTGGTTTATTGAACTAAATTTACTGATACTGAAGCAGTTCAATTATTATCCAGATAAGAAGCTGATAGATCTCAAGATAGGGTATAAAATGCATTTTCCTCAAAAGAAAGAAAAAAAATTAAGGATTTTTAACAGTCACATTTTGAAAAGCACTTTTTTCTAACATTAAAATAAACTATCCTGCCTTCTTTCTTGTTGAATAGGCATCAAGAAGCTTCAAGTCACTGTCAAATTAATTATCGTAACAAACCCTTGAGTTAATTACCTTGAGTATCTGCATTAAATTTTCAAAGTTTGTAACTCATGAAAATCATAAGTGTATGAATGACATCATGCAGAAGAGTAAACAAATAGCCTTTTATTACTAAATTGTGTGAAACTATTCCACATTATAATTAAAGCCATAATTTGAAACTAATCAATTTAAGATAATTAAATGTTTTCATGAGTATGTATGAGAAGCTCAAAAGTTTTAGGAAGAGAAAAACAGTAAAAATAAATTTTCCAACCCCCCCCCCCCGCAAAACAAAAATTCCAGTTAGCATCCTAAATGATATACGCATCAAACATTTAAATCCCAGATAGCACACTAGTTAGGCTGCTATGAAACATTAGAGAACAGAATAAACTTTTAAAAGTGTGATATATTTAAAGTGTGTGGCAATAGCCAACCCATGAATCTTTATTATTCAGTCTAGTTAATCATTTTTAACAATTTTTTAATAATTATAAATAAACACTTCTTTACATCCTGCATCTTTCTCAATTCATAATCTTTTTATGATTTTGTAGTTTCCTATATATGTTTCTATTTATATTTTTATGCCACATAAAATTACTCAAAATATAGTGAATTATAAATTATTTCTAAAATTAAATTAAATGATGAACATATTAATTTCATGTTCAGCTAATGAAAATATTTATATAATATTTGAAAAAAGAAATAAAATAACTAAGACTTAAAATCCTACAAGAGAAATCGAATTTTTTACATAAAAGTTAAAAGTTTCTTACTATCATAATTTGGATGTAAAATCTTGGCTGTTTTTACAGTTAAATGCAACAGAATTTTCCTCTAAAATAAAATGCACAGACAAAATTTAGATAATTAGAATGCACACAATAGATTAAATCACAATAAATAAATATTCCATTTTACATTTTTACTTGAAGAATTTATTTAAAAAAAATATAGAGAAATTTAAGTTTTTTTGCATTATTTGCCCCCTCCCCCCAAGTTTCAACACTCGGTAAAATCATTTTTTTGGCATATATTTGAGTATACATGTGACAATAACCAACCCATGAATGTGCATTTTTCACATTATATATGATTATGTATGTATTTACATGCTTTATGCTTAATCACTATTTTGCTGATCAATGACTCCTCCCATCCCAGAGCACTTTTTTGGGTCAGAACTAATTACAGTGAATGTTGCAGATTTATAAAATACCTCTCTTTAGTATTATTTATGAGCAGAACAATACCTATGAGCTGTAAAAATAGCTAACTAAAATTCTTTTTTTTTTTTTTCCCATTTTACAAAGTTGGCAATGAATTGGTGGCTTTTCATGGGATGTGTGCAATCAGAATATATTTAAATTCATTATAAGGGGAAAAAGAGCTAACAAAAATAAATTTGAAATAATATAAGAAATTATAGTTGTTTCACTTACAAGGTTATTAGAGAATGAAGATTTACTAGAAACTGAATATTTTTTTTAAAAATTCATAGTACTACTAAAATCTAACTGCTGTTTTTTAGTGAATGGAAAAAATTGCCATTATCCTGTTTAGACTGAATATCATGGTTACAATCCATTTTATATGGAACTTCTTAAAAGTCTTGTTCTAAGTTGTCACATTGTAAGATATGATATGTAATAGACTTAAATGATGCAAGAGTGTATCTCGTCCATTTACTTCATTCTTATCTATTTTCTGAATTCAAATTTTGCATTAATATTCGCTGATGCTCATTAGTTGCTTCTATCTAAATACAAATTTTCAAGGGAAAGGGAAAAGTATATTTTAAATTGCAGAACTTTAAATTAAATTATATTTTTTTATTCAGAATTTAAAACCCATATGTCTGATGACTTTAAAAGGCAAAATAAAATATTATAAGAATAAATCATGTACTTAGTTTGATAAAAATGCCATAAATATAGTAAAACTAGAGTAATACTTCTTCCTTATGGATAGTTTTTTGTATAACTATCAATATACTTTGAAATAGAATGATTTGTATATTGCCAACAGGGGACACTTCTCATAATGGACAAGATATGGTCTGATGATATTTATTGTTGGAAAGTTTGATTTTATTTGTGATGTACAGCTGCAGTGAGTTTACAGATGTAGGGTAGAGGAGGAGAAGGAAAGGAAAGTAAGCATGGGAAGGAATTTATGAAACATTTGGCATCAAGTGATAGTACAAATTGTTTTCTCTGGCATAATTGTTCTATCAATTATAAGTAGAAATGCTTATCTTTTAGAAACAATCTAAATATTTCTGTTGAGAAGAATAGTTGTGCATGTTTTTTGTGTTCATTAGATGAAAGCAGCAGTTTGAGATGTTGTAGAGCTAAAATGGTAAATAGCAAAATTGGATCTGATGTGGATGAAGTTATACCAGAAGAGGATGATATATCAATCGACAAATCTTCTTTGGCAAAATAAACTATTTCCAAACACTAGTCGATTATAATGTAGTAATATACTGAATCTTACACCCTGATCCTACTCGGATTTCAACAATGCGAGTTTGAAGATGAATACACATTGCTTTTGAATTGGTTTTTCTTCAAAATTTGAAAACTCTTTAATTTATTTAAATGTAGAAAATAAATGTGTATATAGAGAAAATTGGTCAGATCTAAATATTATAGATTTGGATGCTTTTGTTGCCAGCAGGTATAAATAGACCAAACAATGAATCAACAACAAACCTCTGGGATAAATATAAAAGCAGACACTTGCTTAGAGCAACCAAGTCTTTATAAAAACTCAAAATGATACCTAGAGTTCATCAATATGATAACAAAGAAACTTGAAAAAGTAAAAGATCAAATGACATATTTACTGAGATCAGTGAATTGTGAGATAAAAGAATAGAAATTTTACCATCTTACTTAAATATGATAGCATATGTAAATATTCATGAACAACTTATTGCTTTTAAACAGTATATGCCTAGCAAACTTGCTAAGTATGATATAAAACTCTGGATTTTGTGTGAGAATGATGCCTTCTATTTGTGAAATATCCAACCATATTTAGGAAAAGAGACAGGATCTGCTCCAGGAAAGAATCAAGGAATGAGAACGGTTTTCAATTTATCATATGGTTTATGAGGACATAATATTCCTTGAGACAATTTCTTTACATCCTATGATTTAGGCCAAATGCTACTCAGAAGGTATATCACAATGATAGGCACACTATGAAAAAATGAATGCATACACTTACAGAAATTTGCCAAACAAAAGATAAATGAATGTACTCTTCAAAGTTTGCCTTTACTAAAGACAACACTTATATCCAAATAAAAATAAATGTTATGTTCTTCAAAGTATATCATACAGAGATGAAGAAACTGCACAAAGAGTTGAAGAAAAACCAGAGATTATCATTGATTATAATAAAATTAAGGAAGCTGAGATAGGCTAGACAAAATGGTAGCTATTTATACTGCAAAAAGGAAGACAAAACATTGGCTGGTTGTTGTATTTGACAATATTTTAGATATAGCTTTTGTACTTTATTGAAAATATGTGATTTTGTGACAAAATCACATATTTTCAATAAAGAATTAAATTTATGATTAAATAAATATATCAATAGTAATAAAAAATTTAAATGATTTATTAGAGATTTTATTGAAACAGGCTAATAAAATTTTCATGCAAAATACATTTTGAAAGCAAATATAATGAGACTCCAAGGTTAGAAAAAGCTAAATACAATAACCAATTATTTACATAAAATAAATGTTCTAGAAATAATAATCTAATTACTTTTGCCCCTTCATCTTTTATTGCTTTATATGCTTCATCCTTGGGATTACCACATAAAGATACTATATAAGGATATAATTGTTGCTTTTGAGTTGAAAAAGGATAAGCTGATTTCCCCAGAAAATTTTCCACAGTGCTGAAGGCATCAGCAAATATCCTTTGAGTTTCCTAAATAAATTAATATTTTTAAGTCAATATTTTGATAAAAAGGAAATGCAATTGTATAAGAATTAGTTCATTAAGAAAACAAACAGATATAAATTATTTTAATTTTTTTAATTGTTTACTCAAAACAAACCTATACAATTTAAATATTGTTTTTTAAAATAAATAAAGCGATACACCGTTATTTGAAATAAAATAAATGGCAAAATTCAGCTTCAATTAAGAGCCCAAATTAACACCAAATTTTGGCATTAATACACATATGAAACCATTTACCACATTCAATATATATTTAAATATTTTCTTTCATGCTCACAAGAGAAAAAAAAAAAGGTTAGTCAGAAATTTACAACTATATATATATTTTTCATTAGCAAACTTAGCAATGCTTAAAATTGCTTAATGCTAATTTTCATGCAAACAAAACATATTTCTTATGGCCATTTTCAAATTTTGCGTACATATGCTGTCCCAGAAGAGAAGGAAGAAAATTCAAGATAAATTAATGTTTAAAATTTAATTTGTGCAATGCATTGCATAAAGATGACTATAAATATCTAAAATTCAAAATATAAAAATAATAAATTGAAATTTTGTAGATATAAATTTTAAAATGTGTGAGCATAGGCAAAAATGCCAGTCCCTTTCAAGTTTCATGTTATTCAACCTTTTGTTTTTTGTAACCTAATTTCTTTTTTCAAATAAACAACAATAATTATTTTTTAAATAAGTTTAATTATTTTAAATATGAACTATTAGTGTGTTAAATTCATGATAAAAATTAATTACAGAAGTTTTTTTCTTTAAAAATCAATAGAAAAATAATTTGTCTTCCTCTTCCTGTCAAGTTGTTACCTTGAGATTATTTTACACAAAATTATAGTTTGTAAATCTGTCTAAAAGGGGCGGTACATATTCAGTGACATAGATAAACTAGTCAAGCTAAGTTTGAATATGTACTGCCCCTCTAAGCAGATTTACAAACTAATTGGGGGTAAAATAATCTCAAGGTAACGGACTTGACATGAAGTGGAAGACAAATTATTTTTATTGATTTGCTAAATTTTCAATTGAATTTTTTTACATTTTAAATTGTAGAAATATATTTATAGTCATTTTATCCAATATATTGCTCAAATTAAACTTTAAATATTAATTTATCTTGAATTACTTTCTTTTCTTCTGGGACAGAATATGCAAGCAAAATTAGAAAATAGGACTTACACTTATTTAAGTCTAAATAACAAACAAATAAATTTATAAGAACGACTTTAAAAAAATTTAAAATTTATTTAAAGTATGTGCTTAAACAATATATCGCTTACAATGGAAAATATAACTTTTAATGATGCTCCATTTTCAACAAAATAATAACTCTACAACTTTAAGTTTTTTTCATATATTCCCTCTTATAAAGGGTATCCCAAAATTAACAAAGATTTGAATTTGGCAACTTTTTTGCATTAAGTTGTTGGCAAGCCTGAAAAAAGAACAGTTTAAAAGCCCAGAGTTTAGGGTTAGTGAAAATGGAGCGTTATATGATACAACAATGTGCCTTCCCTATTGAACAATATTTTTTAAATAATGAAAGTTTGGCGGCCGCAGTTTGAAAATTTTATACAAAATATGGTAAAAATAGTGTTTTAACCTCGTCAACTGTGAAAAGATTAATTGAAAAATTCGTGGAGACTGGATCAGTTGGAGACGCTAAACACACCAATCGTAAAAAAAACAAGCCGTTCAAATGTCCATATTGAAGCAGTGCGTGAGAATGTTGGTCAAAACTAAGGAACATCAATTCAGCATCGTGGACAAGAATTGCAAATTTCAAGAAGCTCTCTATAGCATATATCTGTGTCTTCATGCTTACAAAATTCAATTAACACAGCAACTGAAGCTTAATGACCATGAACAGCGAAGAGAGATCGTGGAATGGATTCAAATCTTGCGTTAATTTTGGATCACCCTTTATTAATAACTTAATATAGTCCATAAAATTGCATACAGATATAATGAATCAAAAGCTGAAAATTTTAATTCTAATTTAAAGCTTTCTTATCAGCTTTTATATTACCTGTCTTTCTGAAAAGTTTTCATTTCAAAAATCAAAATTCAAAAGAAAGATTTTTAGTAAGTGGATAGTTTGAAGAAATACAAAAATTGATCTAGAAATTAAACTTGATACAACCATTTCATGAGACACTCGGAGAAAAAGGAATAAAGTTAATTACATTTTAATTCACTTTTTGACGATCTGCCATGACTTTTCAGTTGCATGGTAATTTTTCATTTTCTCTCAATCGAAGCATCAGACCCTAAATTTCAATACTTTGTGGACTTTCTTTACTACTTTCTTTTCTTTACTAAAGTACTTAATACTTTGTGGATGTTTCCGAAATGCTGCATTTACACAATATTTATTATCCTAATTTATATATTCACCCACTCTGTAATACTTTTTGTTATAATCCTTTTTATTATGAGAAGATTATTTTTTCTATGATCATAAAACAAAATCCTTTAATGACTGACATAATGAACAAGAAGTAAGAAAAAAGTATCTTTGGAAAAGCTACTGAGCTACTCACAATGTTAAATCAAATGTATTTAATTTTGTACAGTATTTATTAAATATTATTGTAGAACTAGGGTTATAATTTCATTAGAAAGCAATATATAGTTTTCACAGAACATATTCCTAAAAATAGAGTATTACTTTATTCATTGACAAAAGTTTTATTTATTATTAAATAATAAGTATTAACAACATTTATTTTTCATATTTTTCCCATATTGCAAATTAGCTTTAGCTGCTGTGTAAATTTCATCTTCAACTAATGATGTTTAGATTCTTTTTAAAATTACAATATAAATATTTAATAATACTTACTGATTACAAGCACCCATACTGAAAAGTCATGAAAAAGTATTCATAAGGAAACCTACAATGTTATCAAAAAATATTGATAAGATAACCCACGCATGTCTGTAGCCACATGTCTATTTTGCGACAGCCTGTTGTTGCCAGTGACCATTGCCGAGTTTGTGCAATTTCTGGCTTTTCTCAAGTTAAAACAAACTGTTGTATATACAGTCAAAAGTCGTTAATCCGGACTCGTCGGGACCTCGGCGATTCCGGATTATAGATCATCAGTTTAAATCTGGTAAGATGGCATGCAGAAATTATAAAATTAAAAATATGAAACCGTAATTTATGAAATAAAGAACAATTATGATCTAAAGGGTATCAAAATTTACAAAAAGAGAAAGCTTAATATTTATTTGTTTGCTTTATTAAACATTTCTTTCAATGTAAGTTGCTTCATTTCATGTGATAATACTTTCTCTTTAATTCTATAAACAGACATAATTTCTTGTTCAGTTACAAAGTTCCGCTGTTCAAGTCCTATAATTGCTGTGTCTACCGACTAATTTGTCAATCGAAATATTTTCGTTTTCAATAACCTCTGTCACTTTCTTCGCTATAGGAAGCGAATTATAATGACGAGGAATTTGATTTAAATCATATCAAAGACGGAGTACATCGAGATGAAATACTACATTCAGTAAGGAATTATAAGCCAAATAAAATAAAAACATCTGCCCTGAAGATAAGGATAGTGCTGACAGATCAGTTTCCAATTCATTGCTCGCCTGCCGCAGCGTTAAAGATAAACAAAGTTTAGATAAACAAAGGATATGCCTTTATCCATTTTTTGCAGCAATTCCACTTTTTGTTTAATGAACTTCGAAACATACTTTCGCTTTGTAGATCCTTTACATATTAGTAAATATATATCGGAAATTCTATTTGACATAATCGAAAGTTCAAGCTTACTTTTATAAAATTGCTCTAACAGTTTGCAAAAAATAATAAGCCGGATCCAATTCGAAGATTAAGGAACAACGCAATCTGCAACATTAACTGAAATAGATAATTAGATAATTTTAGCTTACCTTATACCGTCCGTTATACATTAAACGCGCACTCGTAAACATATTTTGCGCACGCGCACAAGCTTATTCGCAGCCGTAAAGGTCTTACACGTATGCGTCAACGCGACGCATGCGCAGAAAGTTTGTAGCTTTGAGGTCCGGATTATAGATCATTCCGGATTATGTGTGTCCGAATTAACGACTTTTGACTGTATAGGGACAACAAGAAAGGAAAAAAAAAAAAAAAAAAAAAAAATACAATAATACATGTATATATATATATATCTATATATATACATGGATTTTTTGGAAAACACAAGAGTTTTATTACTGATGTTTGTTGCTTTTTAAATGTTAGTAATTGATTGCTCTTTTGTGGAATTTTTCGTGTGCCACCATTTTGAAAATGGATGTTACCTTTTGCAGATTAAAAAAATTAGTTGCTATAAATACCAAAACTTAAATAAAAGTTGTATTTTATATTCATAAACTGTAACTAAATACTTAGGAGATAAATAAAAAGCTGACCACATTCCACCATGAAATATCCTCGAGGATCCCGCCTGGTTGGAAACCCCTGGTCTAGAGTGAGGAAATGTTTCAGGAAGACAAAATTTTACAAGAAGTCATTATCAATTATAACTGTTTCATTAAGAAAAGTTGTCTTCCATTTTAATTATAATATTCAGATAAATAATTGGCAACAGATACTGTTTTTGATGAGAGAATTGTAAATATAATAGAACATAACTTTTATTTTATTTGCCAATACAGTCATTTCCCCAGAACTCTCAAAACTCTCAAAGAACTAATGCTTTTTTCTTAATAAACAATGAGTATTCGAACCACTTTGTTTTTGCCCTTTGTAAAAAGGCTTTCGTTGATTTTTACTATTTTGTTAGGCTCTCAAATTTTACAGGAAGCTCTGTTCAGAATACTCTGAAAAGAAACTTCCCACAGGTAATGTTTTCAATCTATTAGCGTTTTTATCAGCCATATTCAGCTGAGCATATTATGTTTATTAGTAGACAAATTTTTTTATGGTAGGATCTCATAACTTTGAAAAT